CGTTATTTAGATCAACAATTTGGACATTTCCACTTAGGGGTGTACTCACTTTTGTTTCCAACGGTTTAGACATTAATGGCAGTGTGTTGAGTTATTTTGAGGGGACAGCAAATTTACACTATACAGGCTGTACACTTACTACTTTACATTGTAGCAGAGTGTCATTTCTTTAGTGTTGTCACATGAAAAAATATAATAAAATATTTACAAAAAAATTTGAGGGGTGTACTTTCTTTTGTAAGATTGTGTACATATATATAGCGTACATAGGTTTCAGGTTATTATCAAGTAGAGTCTGTAGAGGATTCAACTTGCAAACAGACTTGGTTGCACTATATCACAGGTGTCTCCTCGAGGCCAAAAAAGAATTGTAGGCAAAGGGAGGCCCAACATCTTCATTACCATTTTAAGTCTCTTGACGGGGTTTGAGAAGTTATTTTATTTAAAAACCACCAATGTATCGTGCAATGCTGAGAGCTTGCTTTTACCTATGCTGTCTCTAAAAAACAAACTCTATATAATTTTGCGAAATTAATGAAGTTTGGTGTGAATGTGCATTAATTGAAATAGGAGACCATATTATCAATTTAAAGTATAATAGATTATATCTATTTTAAGAGTAGTCAATTTTATAATAAATATCATTATTTTGTTTAAATGATCTATTGTACCACTTACATCAGTCATGTTCTACAAGTTATAAATATCCTTTGACTTGAGTATAGAACATTGTACAAGCTACAAAAACATGTGATGGTCATCCTGTTAAATAAAGAAAGCTATAGTCTGCAGTGAAGCCTACAGTCTGTTACATCATTGATTTAATAAATTCTTCTTTTCAATGACCTGAATTAACCCATTTAGCCCCAAGTACTTTCAGATCCTGGATTCATGGTTCGTGCTTTTTCATATTCTAAATTCTTGAGGTTTGTTATTTCTGAAAGGCAAGACACACGCCCAACTGCTGGTACTGAGAGCTTTGGGGAAAAAAAAATCTAATATTAAAGCATTTCTTGATCCAAATAGTCATTTTGATACACCAGCCACAATTACCAGCATATTTTATTTCTGAGTCCAGACATGTTCATACAGTTTACATGAATAGTGGTAGTTGTATCAAGTAGCTAGATATAAATGAATGGTCACGTTCAACCACATGGTGGTACTCAGCAGTTTGGCAGGCTATGATCTCACCTTTAAAGGTATATTCTAAGTTTAAAAATAAATATATATATTTTTTTAAATGTTCAATGTGCTGCTTAGTAGATTTAGATTATTGGCCACCCATTTGTTGAAAAGAGAACAATTAAACTTAACTATTTTCCATCTCTAAGACAGTCTTTACAGCTTGATATGCCTACTCTGAGATCATCAACATTAACATACTTTGTTCTGTCCACTGCTTCTCATAGAGAAGCACTGTGAACATACCGCACATGTGCGGTCTTTGCCGTGATCCAGCAATACAGTGTTTTTCATGCTGTGTGATGACGCCAGAAGTGAAGTCATTCAGAAAACGAAGGATCTGAAAGAGGAAACTGCTCTGTTAACCAGCCGCTGGATTTTCTGCATAATGTAAACTTCGCTGTTTTTTTAGAAACAACAATATTTTACATTGTCAGAGAAAATGGACAACATTCATACAACCAAACCACGGCATTAAGATGTTGCGGTTTTGGTGCTTAGAGTGTCCCTTTAAAAATACACCTCAGTACGTCTTTCTTAGAAATTTGGAACCATCAAAGATCATGCATCTTTTCCCCCATAATACTCTGAAACACTGAGCAGCACTCATGTCAACAAACATCTGAACAAGTAATTTTTTTTTTGAGTGTTGTTTTAATAATATTTCTGCAAGCCTCAGACTTCCTCCAGTGAAAACAGAGTTATCCGGCACAGTATCATAAAGCCAAAGTTGCAAAATATGTATCCGGCAATGGCAGTTGGTAAAGGTGTTGCGCAATGCTCACCAACTTACGGAAACCACTGTGTAGTGCTTGTCGGGAAGAAATGCCAATGTATTTCTATACTGAGCTAATATGCATTCATGAAGCAGAATACATTGAGTGGAAAAACTGTGGTTAATGTGTGTTCCATTTGACACGAGCACTGACTTAATAAATTTTTATAAGTTACAGGGACACATTGATAATAATTATTGGTGACTTTAATGCAATGCCTTGGTTAGGGCTGGTATTCATAAATGCCAGGTAATGAGAACATCGAAAATTATTACTACTGGCACACAACTCCTTAGTGTGTTTAGAACACTATGGTTGTTTGATAAAATCTTTTTTGTAGGCTTGATAAGATCTACAAACATTAGTCAAAGCATAGTTTAGAAAACTGGTGGAATGCAAAAAAGGTCTCAATCAAATATTTAGTGTATTACGAGGTTGCCCTACATCATTCTTTAATAATTATGTGAAGGTACATTTAATATAAGAATGAGTGCTGGACAGCTCATACTAGTGAAATAAATATGAGGTAGAAAAAACGTAGAATAAATTATAATAATCACTTGTACAAACCATAAAAAAGATTAACAGGTTTAAATGATACCTAAGATTAGCGAGACTCCCACCAGCCAAGTCATTTTAGGTGACACGGAAATGTTTACGTATCTTTCCATCTCTTTACTTTGCACTATTTCCTTATCCCTCCCTCTATTTACAACTTTTTGCACTGTCCCTGATCTTTCCTTCAATTTTCACAGTGAGTGATCTGAGATTTGCAAAAATTGTCTCCTTTGTCTCCAAAAAAGCTGTGAAAGTTTGGTATGGGAAACTAAAGCGACTTAGAACTGAACCAACACACATCAAGAACATGCAATGTTTTGTTGGAACGAGAGGAATGCAGTCACAGTCTCAGTGTGTCTTTTGAGTCTACTTGGAAGGAAATAAGTGGGTCAGCCACGTCCATCAGGATCCTGTTGTAAAAAAGTGGAAGGTTGATGATCAGGGCTGGTTCGATTATTTGGTAATTGCCCATAATGGCAAGTGTTCTGACAGCTTAATGGCTGACTCTGGGGTGCCTCAATTCCATAATCTGTTGAAGGTTAAGTTTGGAACTGTGTTATCACCAGTTGCATACAGTTCTGTTCACTGTGGTATTACTGGTGGCATTTCCCAAAAGTCTTGAAAAAAAAAAAAACTGTGACGGGGCTTTTGTGGAGTACCCTGATATATCATAAATTGGAAATAACATTGCTAATTACAATACCGAAAACCCCCTGGAGTGCTGGACTATAATCAGTATTGGGGCAAACCACAAGGAAACTCAGGAGGCAATACCACCATTGAAAGAAAAAGACCAGTTTACCACTAAACATTTAATCAGAAGTAACCGTCCTTTAGCAAAAGCTCATAAAAACCGCGTTTTTCTAATGTGCAGCTCTGGGGAGCAGCCAACCCACTGACCCGTACTACAAGGAGATGAATGTATTTTCCAGTCAAACAGCAATGTAGGTATATGTAATGACTGGTTTGTTTGTCCATGTATCAAGGGGGCTGCAGTCAGTGACTTGGCTCTAGCTGAAGTTGTTGGCCAGCATATATCTGGAGTCAAAATAGATGTGGGCTTGAAGACCAAATTGGAACCTCTGGAATTTGACGCTATTGGTGCATTTCCTACAAACCAAAATTTGGACTTTTAATCCTGTGAAGTCAAGACACAACTTGAGTGAGACAATAAATACAAAAAAACCAAACCAACTGTGAATAATGACTGCATTCTTTGTAACTTTGAAACTCTACGTGTAACGCATACATTATGCTAGAAAACATCGAAGTAACCAAAACACAAGCAAAGCTTGTTCGGTAAATTTCAAGTTTGCATTGTATCTAGATTTAAATAAATATGCATAATTTTCCATAATTTCTAATTACAAAAGAACGTTGTAGTATTTCCATTAGTCTGATTAAATCTAACAAGGTCAGTTTGAATTTGGGTCCTGTGTAGATTAGTTTTTCTGCACTTTTTAGGCAAATGTCCTAATATGACCTTACATCCGTACCATTACATTAGTATTACTACTGTTATAATCTTGGTTTATCCTCGGAGGGAAATACAGCTTGTTCTGTAATATACCATAGGAATACTATAGGCCAGTGGTAGGCAACCTATGGCACGGGTGCCATGCATGATAATCAAGGTGTCTTTGCACTGCACTCAAGGCTGCTAGAGCCAAACAGGGTGTGGCCTATCACGAGTCCCAGTGAAACTTCAGATATCTGCTAATCCTCAATCTATGCATTGCAGCACATAGAGAAACTGATCTCAGATCACTTCATTCCAGCACTTGTGAATGGGAATCCACACTGTAGTAGAGCAGCCTGCAGCTGCTGTTGCAGCTCCTATCCTTGACCTGTACCTGGCCAGCCTGGTCCTCACTGGAACCCAGGGAAGCCAACCACACTGCTAGATATACACAGAAATGCGCAATAAGCCCCCACCTCATACAAGTAATACGAACAGCCCACACAGAAACATACACACAATCCGCACAAACGCAACACCACTAACAATCCACATACATGCACACAACCCCACATGCAAGCTCTCTCATACAATACCCCAAACAGCACACATACACACCATCAAACACACTATGTGACATTTGCATTAGGGACGTGCATGGGAAAAATATTTGGTTCAGTTCGGCATTCCGAAATTCGTGACTTCGGCACTTCGGTTCGGTTCAGCACTCCGACACTTTGGAACTTCAGGTAAGTGTAGAGTTAGGGTTAGGGTGAGGGATAGGGTTGGGTTAGGGGTAGGGTTAGGGTAGGGGCAGGGTTGGTTTAGGGTTAGTTTAGGGTTAGGGTAGGGTTAGGGTTAGAGGTAGGGTTAGGGTAGGGGTAGAGTTAGGGGTAGGGTTAAGGATAGGGGTAGGTTAGGGGTAGGGTTAGGGTTGGTTTAGGGGTAGGGTTAGGTTAGAGTTAAGGTTAGGATACGGTTAGGGGTAGGGTTAGAGGTAAGGTTAGGGTAGAGTTAGGGTAGGGTTAAGGGTAGGTAGGGTTAATTAAGGAGTAGGGGTAGGGTAGGGTTAGAGATAGGAGTAGGGCTAGGGTAGGGTTAGAGGTAGGGTTAGGGTTATGGTAGGGTTAGGGGTAGGGTTGGGTTAGGAGCAAGGTCAGGGTTAGGAGTAGGGTTAGGGTTACCCTACCCATAATCCTACTCCAACCACTAACCCTAACCCTACCCCAACCACTAGCCCTACCCCAACCCTTAACCCTACCCCTAACCCCAACCCTCTCTTGTTTTGCCACTTTTCAGAAATTGGAAGCACTTCTGCACTTCTGAAATTTGGCACTTCGGTTTGGCTCAGCATTCCAAAATTCAGCACTTTGGAATTTCGGCACTTCGGAACCATCCAAATGTCTGAATTTCTGAAATTCGGACGAAATTGCATTTGGAACGAAATGAATTGCACATGTCTAATTTCCATCCACACACACAATTCCACAAGCAGCCCCCATACACAGTCCACATTCATAGGTTTTATAAACAACACCACAACAACACAAAGCAACTGCAGTATAAATAACAAGCAGAATGCAGCAACATACACACCTCAATTTAAAAAAATAGGACCGGCACACTACAGGACATCAAAATCTTATTTCGGCACAGTGCTCCTAAAAGGTTGCCTACGGCTGCTATAGGCAGTAACTACTCAACAAACAGTCTATGTTGGCAAAGCAAAGGTGCACAGTCCCCCAGACTTTGTTACAATTGGCAACAGTTTTCAAAATACTATTACATCAAGACACCAAGTTTTCGACCAGTAAAATATTTCATTAAGACATTAAGCCATCATTGGTGTAATAAAGCTGTCTTAAACATGCAACCAGCAATTTCATATTAAAAAAGACATCTCTTGAATCTACTTCTCCTTCTACCTACCATTCAATGTCACTACTCCCCTTCATTCCTAAGCTTCTAGAGTGGCTTGTGTATACCAGCCCAATGCAATTCCTCAATACTCTCTTCCATCTCTAACTAGATGTCTTCCCATTTTGTAAAAATCTTTGCAACACCTAATACCCCAGCGCCTCACTTTCTTGGTGTCTCTTGGGTTTTACATTTCTCATTACATGCAGTCTGTCACCCAGTATTAACTTCCACCTTAGAAATATTGCTCGCATTTGCCCCAATCTAAAGAAGATGGCACAAAGGCACTTGTCACGCACTCACCATTTTCTAATAGACTTCTCATCGGTTTCCCAAATACCCACATTGCCACCGTTCAATCTGCAATGAATGCTTCCTGTAGCCTTCAGGATCTAATTCAGACTGCTGATACTAGTTTACAAACTCATCACCAATTCCACTACTCACTACATTTCCTCTTTACTGAACAAATATACCTCTTCTTGTCCCCTTTGCTCTGTGTGTAGCCTTCTCCTCTTACTTTGATTCATTTCAATAATTTGAATGCAGCCATTTTTTCAAACTTAATGTGAGGGAAGAGACATTTTCATCCTGTCATAATTAAGTTTGGATTGTCGTTAATTGCCATTATAATCCTATCCTAATTTAGCATTGGGTTGTAGGGAAGAGTCATATTACACTGCCTGAAGATGGTCTCTGGATGTAGGGAAGAGACGTTTTATGGCTAGATAAGTTGCCCCCTCCAAGTGATATGTAACTTTTGGACCTAAGCTAAGTCTGAGCTTTCTTACAAGTTGGGCCTGGTCTATGCAGCAGAAGTCAACAAATAGTCCTGTTTCATATAAAATTATAAATGTAATTTACTTATTGTATCTTGTTATTTAATGGTTATTTTATTCAATAATTTATGAGATGGTCATAGTGTAAATGTAAAGAAACAAAACATTAGCGTGCCATTTACTTTTTTTGCCAATAGATGGCTTGTTTGTGCATAATGGTACATATCTATACAACAAGTAACATAGGTCATTTAAAAAAATAATACCATGAAATGATATATCAACAGAAATATATTTTAATACAGAATGTATTGTAGCACTCTTCATTATTATTATTATTTTTTTTTAATGCATTTTGAAAGAATTTATTCACCAACAATCATGATAAAGTAAAGAAAACCACGGTAAAGCAAATTTCATAACGTCTAACCAATTCTGTTACTGTTAAGTCTGGATAACTTTTGCCGCTATTACAGCCTTACAACGGCATACCACGGGGTGAAGCAAATGTCCTTATAAGTGTAATCTTCTTCACGCAAAGTTATTATTATACATTGCTTTCTAGGTGATCAGACAACTATTTTCAACCTGTTTTGTTTACTAAGTTACACAGGTTACTAAGTTACCAAGCAATAGAAAAACCCATGATCAACAGGTTAGTAAATGTGACTTTAGTCACCATCAACAGGAACCCTTAAGGCAGACACCTTATGTAGATCCCTGGACTATTCTTATATTTTAGTCACCCTGTGCCCATTATAGGTGCAGGGTGTGTGTAATGTATTTTTTCTTGTTAATTGTTTTGTGTGCTCTGCTGTCCTGCTGATGCTCTCAACCAACTAGGTGGATTTGGCTATGGAGCCTGTATAGCGCTATCTTTAGGTTGTAAAGATCCCGAAATAGCTGTGTTCACTAGCTGAATAGCAAGGATTGTTAATTTGCATATTCAAGTAGATTTGCATATCATGAATTATGCAAGCAGGGGATATATTTCTTGTTAGTTATTTTTCCCTTACCCTTTATGAATATGTAAATGTATTATTAGGAGTCCCTGTATGTTTCGCCATATGATTTGGATATTTGTATTAAATTGAGTATGTCACCGTAAGTTTGATGTAATAAACATATGGGATGGTCCAAGTAAAAATGAAGCCGCGCATGTTAGTTCCTTTTTGGAACTGTGTGTCCTGGTTGATCTGTTCAGGGATCCCAGTAACAGAGTCTTCGTAACTGTTGGCTTGCTGCTTGGTTCCTGTAGCTAGGGACAATTAAAACGATCTTGACCTGAGAGCTAAAAATATATTTGTATAGGTATTTGTATAGGCAGTAGCTGATCACAGTCTAGGACAGTGATGGCGAACCTTTTTGAGACCGAGTGCCCAAACCGTAATACATGCCAATTTTTTTTCCCTCAAAGAGCCAAAACGGCATTTAAACCTGAATATTGAGGTTTAAGTTTCGAAAAAACAACTCATACAGTTGTCCGAACTAATTAACATCTCTGTGTGTGTATTTAGCAGTCTGTCTGTGTACTTGGCAGTCTGTCTGTGTACTTGGCAGTCTGTCTGTATTTAGCAGACTGCTGAATACACACACAGACTGCTGAGTACACAGTCTGCTGAATACACACACAGACTGCTAAATACACACACACACACAGACTGCCGAGTACACACACACACACATTGCTAAAAACACACACACAGACTGCCGTGTACACACACAGACAGACTGCTGAGTGTACACACACACACAGATTGCTGAGTGTACACACACACACAGACTGCTGAGTGTACACACACAGACAGACTGCTGAGTGTACACACACAGACAGACTGCTGAGTGTACACACACAGACAGACTGCTGAGTGTACACACACTGCATTAAGGGGTACATTGTATGTGTTTGTGTGTGTGTGTGTGTGTGTGTGTGTGTGGGTGGGGTGATGTGATGTGTGGGTAGGGTGATGTGTGGGTGTCTTTGTGTGGGGTGATATGTGTAGGGCAGGGGTGCTGTGTGTATGTCGTCCCCCCTCTCCCCCGTCCCACACTCAGTTTTCTCCCCCTATACCTCCCTCAGTTCCCCCCATAACTCTCCGCCTCAGTTTCCCCCCATCTCTCCCTCAGTTTCCGTCCCATCTCTCCCACTCAGTTCCCCCCCCATATCTCTCCCTCAGTTCCCCCCCCATATCTCTCCCTCAGTTCCCCCCATCTCTCCTGGTTCCCCACATCTCTCCTCGGTTCCCCATCTCTCTCCCTCAGTTCCCCATCTCTCTCCCTCAGTCGCCCATCTCTCTCCTCAGTCCCCCCACCTCTCTCCCCCTCAGTTTAGCCCCCCCATCTCTCTCCCACTCAGTTTAGCCCCCCATCTCTCTCCCACTCAGTTTAGCCTCCCCATCTCTCTCCCACTCAGTTTCCCCCATCTCTCTCCCTCAGTTTCCCCCCATCTCTCTCCCTCAGTTTCCCCCCATCTCTCTCCCCTCAGTTCCCCCCATCTCTCTCCCACTCAGTTCCCCCCATAGCTCTCCTCAGTTCCCCCTCCCATGGCTCTCCTCAGTTCCCCCCTCCCATGGCTCTCCTCAGTTCCCCCCACCCCTCCCATGGCTCTCCCTCCAGGTTCCCCATAGCTCTCCCTCAGTTCCCCCCATGGCTCTCCTCAGTTCCCCCCCTCCCATGGCTCTCCTCAGTTCCCCCCTCCCATAGCTCTCCCTCAATCCCCCCTCCCATGGCTCTCCTCAGTCCCCCTCCCATAGCTCTCCCTAGGTTCCCCATAGCTCCCTCAGTCCCCCCCTCCATAGCTCCTCAGGTTCCCCATAGCTCTCCCTCAGTTCCCCCCTCCCATGGCTCTCCCTCGGTTCCCCCCTCCATAGCTCTCCCTCAGGTTCCCCATAGCTCTCCCTCAGTTCCCCCCTCCATAGCTCTCCCTCAGTCCCCCCCCTCCCATGGCTCTCCCTCAGGTCCCCCCTCCCTGAGCTCCTACCTTATAGCGTGGCCGAGCGCACCGCGGTACAGGAACTTATGTTTCCTGTACCCGACAGGAAGTGCTCTCTCTGTGAGCACTTCATTTCCGTCCGCCCGGGTACAGGAAACATAAGTTCCTGTACCGCGGTGCGCTCGGCCACGCTACATAGAGTGCCTGGCAGGAGGGAGCGCTGTGCGCTGCGCTCACCTCCTGCCGGTCACTCCGGCTTTGCGCCCGCCGGGCCGGTGCACCCTAAGGCGGCCACTTGTGCCGCCTTATGGATGCGCCGGCGGAGCGCACGGCGACCTATGGCCGCGTGCCCACAGAGGGGGCTCGGCGTGCCACCTGTGGCACGCGTGCCATAGGTTCGCCAACACTGGTCTAGGAAGAGGCAAAGGCAGAGGTGACAATACCTGCCTGAAAGAAGAGAGCTGCAGCCTGGTCGGGTGGAAGAGTTCCTGAGAGACCCTACTAAAGCTTCTGCAACTGGGGCTGAAGTGTTCCAGGGTCCCTGATTAAGGCTAGGAAGCAAACCGGGCAGAGGTGCTTAGTTGGAGTACCAGAGCTCCGTAACATTAAGCAACAAGCAAACAAAAAGTGGCCAGCTTGATGACGTTTAAACAACTGAATATATGGAAATGGTAGCTGACTCATACAAACAACTTGTTGGTTCCATACAGGGACATAATAATACCCAATTGGCTTCCAGAACAATCAGTCTCATTAGTCAGTTTTGAGTTAAGGAAATCAACTCAGTTTGTTGCATTACATTCTGCATGACATTATCTTTCTAGAGATATGCACCTTAATGGCATTATTCTAAAAATATTGATGTCATCAACCATCAACTGCTAGAAATACAAATTTTCAGAAAGGATTCCATAATTTTGGCCTTCAGTGTATATAATATAAAGTGTTGGAAATTAACTTGGAGTTATAAGTTTTGTACACCAACTCCACAGCAGCAGTGCCATACTTGCATGCCAGGTACCCGAAGGCACAGTATTCAAAGGCATCCCCGCTTCCCTACCCCCAGAAAAAGTGAGTTTATTGTACCTATTAACTGAATATTGCAAGCATTAAATTTTTTTTAATCAATTCAAATTTGACAACCACAAATGTATTTATGTATGAACAATTTTCTAATAATAATAATTATGTTTGAGTATAGTGAGTGTATGCAGCTGTGTAAATGAATGCGGACCCTGAAGGAGCTGGGAGGAGTAATGTGTTTTTCACCTTCTGTAATTGTTCCTGTGGCCCTGTTATTAATCTTAGGAAGCTGCTTGGACTAAAGAAAACAATAGCCATGGCTCCTGGTACTTATCTCTCCCCACCAGTTCTAAAACAACATAATATAAGTGGCTTTGACCTGCACAGAATGTTTTTCCTCAGGGGGGGGGGGGTTGACTGTTCTGGGCAATATGAATGGAATAATAGGAAAGTAAATTCACTTCCAGCAATCAAATTAAGTTTGTAGGAATGTTACTCCCAGGCAGGCCTCAAGGCCATATTAACCAGGCGAGGATTACATTAAACATGCCTACAAAGATATCACATTGGAGCCGCAGGGGGACGACACGGGTCTGTGACAGTCACTGGTGACTTGGGCGAGTTCCGACTGTTACGGACCGGACACGGACGTGGGCCTCTGGGAGAACCTGGGCCTCCTTCCACTACCCCGCAGGACAAGGCGTCAATAGGAAGGTGAGCAAGCCATACGGACCACTGGTGGTACTGTGCACCGTAGCTCCCCGACGCCTACATCCAGCCGTCGCCCAACAGTGACGAGATCCCAACTCCCCCTACCCACACCAAATCCCTCCCACACCCATCCTTCTCACCCAACCCTCCCTCTCCCCCCTCATCCCTCCTCCCCTTCAACAGAGAGATACATGGGGGACTACACCCCACCTATCCCAGCCAAACCGTCATGGCATTGACACCAGCCCAACTTACTGTCATGACCATTAACGCCAGGGGACTGAACAAGCCAGAAAAACGATCTGGGGCCCTCAAAGACTTTCAAGCACGCAAAGCTTTGATAGTCATGATCGAAGAGACACACTTTAAGAAGGGCGACAGACCTAAACTATCAAACCAACACTACCCACAAGGGTACTTCAGCGACTACCATGGGGGAAAATTCAGGGGAACCGCCATACTACTGAACAAGTGAGTGCCGTTCCAGGAAGGGGGGTGCCTAACAGACAAAGAGGGTAGATTTCTATTCCTCAAGGGCTAGATAGCTGGACAATCCTACACATTCGCAACCATATTGTAGCGGAACGCCAATATTAAATCCACGAATTCCGCCGGTTCAGGAAGTAATCCACAGTCAAGCGCTGAAACAACAAGGCAATATCCCCAACCTCCCAGTAACCGGACGAGACACAGTTCTGAGAGTCAACTGACTTCCTTTAATTCGGCTGCACAATTTATACAAGTCCCCATGCAAGGGGTTTCCTGAGTCCCTTCCCAGGGGCACTCCCAGAGGGGACTACATGGGGGACTTACATTACAACATATTTCTCCCATCAGGCACTGCTGCACGAGAGGGGTCCTCCTCCCAGAACACACCATTAAGTGGATTATCCCCTCGTGCATCAGAACCGACAATTTATACAAAAATCCATAACTTGGTGAATATACGGTGGATTTACACGAATGGACGTTCGGTAGATAGCTGGGGTCTGAGTGCATCATTCGTGAGATTACCGCTCAGATCCCAGCTAAAATAACCGAACGCCGCACGAAAAACACATTTCTTATCAAACATATAAAAAGAACCGATTGCTTTCAGGGAACAAAATACCGAATGGCCCGAAACTCCCGAACGCCCTGGAGGCTCAGCGGTGTTCGTGCCGTCGAGTAGCCGTTTTGAGTACCATGCGCTCGACGACCTAGCACCGCTGACGACGGCCACCCAGGAGAGCCTCTAATTACCGATTGCAACATTGTTGCAATCGGTTAACCAGCGCCACACGCCTCTAAGTGTGTGGGCTATTAGGAGTATTGCTTTCGGTTCACGAACGGCCCTCCAAAGTGCCGTTCGTGAAACGAAAGGAAATCCCCATACAAACCGCCATTTGCATTCGGCAGATGGCAAATACATGCAATTCAGACAATACAGGTAGCATACAACATATAGAGTAAAGCACATATCTCCCCAGACCTATAGGCAACCCTTAAAGGCATAGTCTCTGGTTATAGTCCAAGTGGCTAGGTTTGCCACACATATACGCCCCCAATAGACAGCAACACCGCTTCCTCCTCTGAACACTAAATAAACTGCATGCTTTTGCTGAAGGGGTCCTGATACTCGGGGGCAACTTTAACGTAGCACTAGACCCCACATGGGACTGCTCCACCGGCACATCCCATACCCCAACACAACAACTACACTCCCTCAAGACCCTCATATGCAAACACCAGCTTGCCGACTGCTGGAGAGCCCACCATCCAGACGAAAAGGAGTTCACATTCTTTTCCCACCCGCACCAAACCTACACCAGAATAAACCACCTCTACACCACGCAGCATAACCTCCCCTAGTGGAGGACGCAATCATAGGAGTGGCAACGTGGTCGGACCATGCTCCTGTCACCCTCCACCTCAAATCCCAACTATTCTGGCCCACAATAACTAAATGGAGACTTA